TGCCGGAGATATGCAGATCTCCGGACAGCACCCCATCCAGCACCCCGATGTGTGGTTCTGGGCTGGGAGAGGTTCTGAGGTTCCCTCTGCTGCTGTGCCGGCACATAGGATGCAAAAGGCCATTGGCAAACATTTCCATGTGCCCGAAGTCTTCCTAAAGGTCCTGCCAGAAGTTGTAGTAAAAGTCGTCGATTTTCTGTACCTGGGAGCTTGTCATTGCTGCCTGCCCGCTTGAAAGCAGGTCTATGAAATCTACTTGTGGCCTGTTTTGTCAACATCGGCTCAGCCATGCGGCAAACGTGCCTATAGTTCATTCTGAATGAGGCATGCATGCATAAGTCATCATTACCTCCTGCACGCATGTCCACATACACCCGTATCTGTAAATACCTGTTTGAAGAAAGCGAGAGCGAGCAGGCGAGTGTCAGAGAGAGAGAAAGAGAGGGTTTAGGGTTTAGGGTTTAGACAGAGAGAGAGAGAGAGAGAGAGAGAGACAGAGAGAGAGAGAGACAGAGAGGGGAGCAGGAGACACCAAGAGCGAGAGAGCGAGAGTAAGAGATGTACTGGACAAATTCCTGAATCGGGACGGGTCTTGTCAGTCTTCTGCTTGAAGGCAGCTCCCGCCACCAACCTACCCTCTGTACAACCATTCTACAGCCATGCCAGCTTTCCCTAACCAAACTTTGTCAACTCGTTGCACAGCCCAGAATCAACCAATCCATAGCATTCCGAGTTCAGTGCTCTAGCTCGTCAGGTAGCAGGCTGTCCTCGGGAGATCAGCCAAGCCGAAAGCGACGAGATGCATAAGCGATCTTGTCTTTGCTCTCCAAAATCTCCAGAATTTTGCCATACCTTGAAGCAGAGATAATCATACAGAGGAGGAGCCTTCCTGTTTTTGCATCGGGTCTGCTACTCCACCTCGCTCCGAGCAGGCTACGCCCTTTTGCATCCAGGCCTCTTCCAACTGCCAGGTACCCCTAAAAGATCGATCTAAGCAAGAAAGCTTCACAGAAACCCTGAACCTTTGATCCTCATCAGCCATGTCAGGTGCACACCTAGGAGAGGTAAAAGGCGCTTTTCACTCACGCCCGCACCTGTAAGTCTGAACCTTCAAACTTACAGCCTACTGGTACCTGGACCCCCAAAGTATGTAGAATAATGCCCTTTTGCAGGTATTGGGCCATTATTCTACCTACTTTTGGGGTTTAGGTAGATCGGATCAGCGGCCCGGTTCCTTGCCCTGCGCACTCGCAACAAGACATATGTGGTCCCCGTCGCTCTATATATATATATATATGTACACATACATACATATATACATATGGGTACATGTGTAGATATGTATACATGTATGTATGTATGTATGTATGTACATGTATATACTATATTTCAGGACCGTCCCTAAGCTTGTATCATTGGTGCTCCTTGCGTTGGCCCAGACACAATGGAGCCGAGTCAGGCCGTCCAAACTTTGCAAAAGTCACCTCATTTTTCTCCTGCGGGCAACAGCATACCATTGCATCCTAGTTGACCTCTTCCTTACTTATGAGCAAATAACGAAGAATATGCAATATGAAACTTAATATACAGTAGACAAAGAAGCGTGTATCCTACGCTCTGATAGAGTTTTCTATGATGAGACAGAACCTCGGGATCGTGACCTCTCCTTGGCCCACTCCAGACACTTCTCGCCGTTTACCTCTTCCAGCCAGAGGAAGGGATCGTCGCTGGCAGCAGTCGCAGCCATGCGCGCAGACTTTACCTGAGCTACGGGGGACTTGGGCAAAATCCTGTCGACGAAAGGAAAGAAACTGTTCCGCATGAAAGAGCATGTGCTTGCGGCGACAGCAGTCCGCTTCCTCTGCGAATCACCATAATCTTTCATGGAGGACTTCCTGCTATGTTGTCGCAGACGAACATAAGCAAACACATGCCCGCGATCTTGCAAGTCACATCTCTGCTGAAGCTGCGGCCCGTGTGTGTAGATTCTTGCACAATTACATACCCGTAGGCATGCGAATAAAACGTGCTTGAAGACTAAAGACATGATACTGTATGTGCCTGCTTCCAGATGACAGAGTCTTTTGCCTGTGGATGGTACACGTAAGTATGCAACCATGTACGCTATGCACACGAGGGCATATATGTGAAATCTGCCTCACATCTGGGATCTTGACATATGTTGCAGAATAAGGGGCGGCCTGCACATGCCGATCATAGTGGCATGTTGTGGTCTGCACACAGACATGTTGAACGTGTGGGGCGGCTCTGGCAAACTTTGGGGCTGGAAACCCATGTGCCGCTCCGAAGTTTCGGCGAGGCACTTGAGGACGCGACATCCGTTTTTCCCACAATGATGTGTTTGCGAAGGAATTCGTGATCTTTGCGCGATGCGAAGATCCCAGCTTCCGTCGGGAGATCTGTGTGGAAGCAAACCGTGTGGCAGCGGCAGCCCATGCAGCCTTTCTGAGCATGCTGAGGCTACTTGCCGCTGCTGCCTCTGCTCGTCCGCCTTGGTATGACGGAGCCTTGTCGCGCCTGAATTCTTCAACACATCTGGGGCCAGGAGAGACCACCCATCCTGGACACAGCATGGGGGCGTCGCCGTGCGCCGTGTGACTTAATGACTGAACTGGAAGTCTGCAACGTGGTTCGGGTTGCTTGGTGGAACACATACTAGCAGAGAAAGGTAAATGATAGATTCTGACTGACACTGCTCCCTGATGTTGATACAGTGATGTAGCATGCCAGACAACACTGCTCTCTGGAGGGTCAGCAGATGGCAATCACGAGCGGACTTGAAGAGTTGATGCTGGTTGTCGCGGCTGCCGCAGACCCATCCACAAATTCAAAAGACGCTCAGCATTCTACAATCTCTTTGTATACGTATAGATGTCTATGATTGTCTATGTATACATGTAAAACCGGCCCTGCGAAGATTGGTCAATGGCTGCTGCTAAGACTAAGACGATTGGGAAATCCCTTCGCATTTCGAGGCCAACGGCCTCTAGGCTTCGGGTTTAAGGCCCGTAGGATTGGCTGAGCTAACTCAGTGCCTGCACGCATGTGTGTGTGTGTGTGTTGCGTGGGCGCGTTGCCATGCGCCTCTGGTGACTGTAGAGTTACCTCATCACAGTACACCAGTGCCAGTCTCAGGAATCCCAACCTGACGCTGAAGGGGACTCTGTAACCGGGGGCAGCCACAATCTTGTGCCCTATCGTGATACTGAAGCTTCCGCCGTAAACGTCAGATGCATCGTGGGCATGCTGGTGTCAGAGAGTTACTCTACGGGTTGCCATAAGGGGTTGCTACATGGGTACTGCATAAGCTACATACGGTGCTGTCAGGGTGTAGTGCGGGTTCTGCAAGGTGCGTGTCGGGTTTACTGTAGGGTTTAGGGTTCAGATTTGGGTTTACAGGAAGTTTGGGTGTAAATATCCGAGGGGGCTCAAGGAATAAAGTCTCGTTGATTTGAGCTTGGGGCTCAGGAGTGTGGACTGGAGGCTCTAAAAGGATCAAGGGAAGAGCTTCGGGCTCGTTTCCCTTTCAGGGGTAAGCATGACACGGCAGGACAAGCTGAAGGCGCGCTCTCTTTCTTGAACTACGCATAAACGTCACCAGCCGCTGATGCAAAGAGGCGCCGGAACATGCCTTTCGATCTGGCAGCCTCCCAAAAATCTGGAGCCGACAGCATGGCTTGGATTCAGCGCGCTTGACGACTAGTCGGTCTCTTGGCGTCTATGTGTGCTTTCGTGTGTTGCGAGCATCTCTCTGCCCCTCTCTCTCTCTCTCACTCTCTCTCTCTCTACCTCCCTCTACTCCCTAAACGGAGGAAAGTACTACTGCAAATCAAGCATACAGACATACGCATCGTCACAGCCACACGGCTATAGATGTGCATGAAGTTACGTGTGCGTCTGTCTCTGTGTGTGTGTGTGTGTGTTTGCGTGTGAATGCCTACTGCTTGCCGTTCCGTTCATTGACAAGGGTCTAACCCTGCAGTACATGTCTGCCGACGGCCCAAAATGCCGAGAGGAGAGAGCTTACCTGAGTATACCCTGAAAAGTTCATCCGCATGTCGCTCGCAGCTGAATCCGAATTCATGCTGCAAGCACGATGACCTGACCATCTCTCTCCTTCGGGGAGAAACGTGCGACATGAACTCTCGAAGTATCTTAGCGTTTAGAGGTTTAGTAACGCTCAACAGTAAGTCGCTGGGTCAAAGATTTCGTCGCATCAGTACGACTTATTTCTATCATATGACAGCGAGTTTGGCAATGTGATTGGAGTACACTAAGTTACGAGGACCTGTGTGCTCTTGCAGCTCTGGGACACCAAACAATTGTAACCCAAGCAGGTCCACGACTTCGCCGGACGCCGTCGATTCGTTCCAACATGGCAGCTTCAAACAACTTCGGGGGGGGGGATACGATAAGGGATCTATAGTAGGGTTCTGTAATATATAGGGGCCTTAATAATTAGAATAGGGTGGGGGGTTCAAGCTCAAAGGTTCGAGGCTGGCGTCCAGCACAAACGACTTCCAGACCCGTCGTCGCGCTCGGACGGGGGAACTTGTGATCAAGGAGTTTAGGGCTTGCTAGGACGTTCGGGGTTTGACCATATCATGTGAAACCGGAACAACAGTCCAGATGGATCTCTTGGTGCTAATCCTTCTGACGACCATCATCAAACCACTACCCGAAACATCTTAGCGATGCCATAAGAAGTCGCAAGAAAATATGAATCAAACGCTGGCGGCGGGCATGGCAACATTTCTGCTTTATCGTAATGCTGGTGGCTGAAAGCCAGGAAGGTAAAGAACACAAGCACAAAGAACAGCAGCTTCTCCGGTGCTTCTCGCCGTAGTAGTACCAGCAGAGGAATAATATGGAGACCTTCTGAAGTTGCTGGGAAAAGCACCCCAAACTCCTTGCTACTGGCCTTGGTTGGATACACAAACAGGGGTCCTGCCTTTGTCGCACTTTTTGCGAAAGGACCGACCCAGCACTAGCCACAAAACTTCTCTAAGATTCATTGCGACTACATGCGGCATGCGGCTACAAGCCACGGCATCTTCACGAATCAGGCATGCGCCTCTCTACTTTTCCAACTCATCAGCTTTACCCACACACACACACACAAACCATGTCAAAAAAAATCACCCTGGGTCTTCTGGACTGTAGGAGACCCTATACAGTTGCAAAGCGGTAAACCCATACACTTGGCCTAAATATTGCTTTGGCACTCGCTTTCGAGTGAGGCTCTCAGCTTGGAACCGAGACCTCTGACCTCTGCGGAGCCGGATCTGACATCATTGCAAGCAGAATAGGGTTTCCCTGTGAAGGGATCCTTTAAAGGGTTCTATAGTAGGGTTCTGTAGTATAGGGCCTTCATCATTTTCAATAGGGTTTTGGGGCCCAGTATACTACAATTGTACCAAGAGCCCCCCAAAGAATATGGGTAATTAATTCGGCTCCTATCTTAAAGGGTCCTCAGTTGGGCTCGGGCTCGGGTTACTTTCGGGGAACTACAATAAGGGCTTAGTGCAGGGGCCATAACTATTAGAGTAGGAATTTGGGGTTTCTTATCGCATAGTTCACCACATAGGGACTATAAGCGGATCTTGTTACTGGTACTACTTCAGACATGCGGACGGCGTAGGATTTGGGCGGAGGGTGTGGGGCTTATAGGTTTTGGACTGGTTGACTGGGGTTGCGAGGCTTACGGTCTAGGAGTGGGAAGGCCGGTTGAAGGAGCCAGGCCGGTGTGATGGTGTCCCAAAGCCCTAAATGGGGGTTTCCGAAAATAGGGGACCCTAATATAGTACCCTGTTTAGTAGGATCCTTATTATAAGAACCACCAAATAAGGTACACCTAATTTTCGGAAACTCCAAAATCCTAAACTTCTAAACCGTGCAGGTCGGCTACCTGTGTTGCTACAGGTAACGTGACAAGTATCTGCCCCGGGTACTCTTTTCGGCAATTTTCCCTCACAGACCTTGACAGCCCCAGTTCATGTAAGAACTTTCCTGGACCATGTATGGGTAGTTCTCTAAATTAGAGCTTCTTCTTAGGTATGTGTTATATGGGTGCCACACTAGGGGACCCCACAAAAGGGACCCCAATTTAAAGAACTGCCCATATGTTTTCCTATCACAGAGCTGTACTAATTCAGGCCTGAGATCTCGCCACAGTTGGCGCCAGAAACCCCGCGACACCCGAAATCAGGACGCACCCTGAACCGGCAACTTGCTCTAAACCCAAAGCCACCAAATCAGGGACCCGGTGCAAGGGAGCTGAAGCCGAAACTAGGAACCGCTCTAAACTCCAAACAACACTCAACAGTTTGATCTCCGAAAGCAGCTCCTCGTTCGTAGGTACATGACCATATAGCCCCCAAACCCCAGCCCATTATAGGGGCCTAGATTATTACCAATACTATTGTGGGGGGTTCTGATAATAATTACAGTAGAATGGGCCCCAAAACCCTATTCCAGTTATTTAGGCCCTTCTATTGATTACTACGACCCTAGAACCCGTGGCAGAACCCTCCAGCTTCTGGCCTAAAGACTCGCCACTGCGATCGGGGGAGGCCTTGGGACGGCGCGCAACGGCTCTTCGTTTAGGGTTTAGAGATTAGGGAATAGGGTTCAGGCAATATGATTGTTTTTTAAGTTCAGCCTAGACGCCTGAGCAATGAGAAGAGGGACAAATGGTTTTTTTTACTAGAGTTAGAATACTGAATC